GGATTGATATGACAATTATATCCCTGGATTTAACAGTTTTTTTGACAGGGGGACTATATAAGAGCACCTATATTAACGTTAGGGATCATAAGTGATACAAAAAAACTTTAAGGATGCAATCTGATAGTTTCGCAAACGTCAGGGACATTTTGTGATAAAAAGCCAATAATTTATACAGAAGATTCCAATCAGAGGACTAAAGTGGGCCCAAATGACCCCTCTCATATTTTTAATTTTTTAACAACTAATTCGAATATCTAGAAAATATACGAAAACCCACCCCAAAGAGAGAAAAAATATCTAAAACATTATGAATGAGTAGTCAAATCAATCTCCACATGAAACCTCTAATGATTGTTGAAAATAGAAAAATGTAATTATGTTGTATTTACTAATGAGATATTTTTCACACCAATTTATAAATTTGTTTTAACATTGAAGTCATTAATAAAAATCTAAACATTCACAAACTCACCAACCAAAATAAGTCTAAACTAAACTAACCAAGGTATCACGATATTATCACATGATACCTTGGTTAAGAATGCGAAAAAGGTTTGCCTTATGAAAATCACGTGATACCAATTAAAAAGATTCAAATCCCTAGAAAATAAATGTAACTCACCTGAAAAAGAGAGAATATGTAACAAATCAGTAGTCAAAGTAGTCTCCGCAAGAAACCCTTAATAATTGTTGAAATAGAAAGATGAAAAAAAAAAAACTTAACTGCATTAAGAAATCATAATTGAAAAAGAAAACACCTATAAAGCCTAATTGACCAAGAAAATGTAAAATTATTAAATTATTGTAAATAATACGAACTGCAAGAAAGTAATAAAAATATGATAATTATCCCGGTTAAATTAGGGCACATCCCGCATCTGCCAGGACAAGTCGTGGGATTGCCATGCCTGTGTTTAAGTCAAGCTTGAAAGATCTTTGAGAATACTTCCAAGCACCTTCTTATCTTCTAGCAGCATACACACTAGAAACAAAGGCTAGAGAGATGTCCGCAATTCACCTCAGATCCCTTGCTTTATTGATAACAGACTTACAATACAAGTTATCTGTAGCAATTAACTCCACACGCACAATCAACTTTTTGTTCTTTATTTGTAAATTCCGAAATGCTTCAAATAATTTAGGGCCCAAGCCCTTTAATTCAAATTTTTTTATTTCCGACCTGTTTAAGTAGTTGATTGATTTTTTTATTTATTTAAAAACGTGGTACATACATTCATATAATTCCAAAGATGAGAACGCTTAGACACAAATAAATTCTGTAGTTGGTTCAAAAAAAATAAAAAATTTGTGGTTGTGTAGAGGCCTAAATATTTTTTTATATAAATCTATAAATATCTTGATGGGTAAATTTCACTTTACTAATCAGAAGTTGCCCAATATTCTAACTTTGCTATCTAAAGTTTTTTTTGTATCAACTTCGTACCCAACATTTGATTTTTTTACCACTTTCATACTTCCGTTAGTCAAACTGTTAAGTTATCCATTAAATGATGATGTGGTAATCAATGACCCATAAAATATCAAACATATTGTGCCATATCAGCTGATAAAAATAAAATATAAAAATTAAAAATTAAAAATTAGAAAAAAAAAACTCTCTCTCCTCTCCATGCAACTAACGACACAGGGTTGCAGTACGAGGGATTATAGAGTAGTACGGTATTACCACATCAGCATATGATACTCCCGTTCAAAATTTGCCATGTGTCCCATTTAAAAGAAAATTAAAAATACTTGTACAGCTGGAAACCTCCAATTTTATCCTTTAAAATAACATTAGAAATAAAATAAAATAAAAGAATACTCCAGCCAATCTCGGCAGTAACCCTACCCTGCCTCCTCCACCGTCTCTTTCCCTTATCTCCGCCAATTGAAGTCTTCTTCTTTTTTTTTTGTTTTTTTTTTCTCGACAGTATCATTGAATCCATCTTCCTTTTATACAGTCTACCCTCCATCTCTCTCCCTCTCCCTCATCAACTACCACTTTATTTTATAGTTAGTTTTAAATTCACATCCCAAAAGAACTTCTTAGGGTTTTTTACTTCAATTTGCTTTTCTGTCGAGTTTTTCCCTCATGGTAATCCTTAGAGTGTGATGGTTAGAATACAAAGTAATAAGAAATTGGAACATGAGGTTTTGAGGCGAGGAAGACGACTCCATCCATGGAGAAACTGAAGGAAGTTGAGAAACGATACACATACGAAGAGTTGGGTGCCTTGGTGGGGATCTTGGACTTGTAAAGAGCTCGGCCGATGGAGAAATTTATGCTGTTTGTAGAGATGGAATTGCAGGTAGTAAAATTGCAGGAGGAGAGGTTTGAGATGTGGGTTTGTTTCCTTCATTGTAGAAAAGTAGAGGAAGCTGAAAAGGAAAAGGGAGGAATAAACGGAGATTGGGGGTGGAGGAGGACTCCCAGTTGAAGGATTTTTTATTTTTTATTTTCTTCATTTTTAATTTTATTCCAAAGGGTAAAATTGGAAGTCAAACTCCAGTTGTATAAATAGTTTTAATTTTCTTTTAAATATGACACATGGCAAATTTTGAATGGGAGTATCATATGCTGACGTGGTAATACCGTACTATTCTATAATTTCTCCAGGGTTGGGTGGTTTTGGGTATGGGGTGGGGATCTGGGCCGGGGATCTAGGGGAGGGGAGGGTGATTCTGGGTCAGGGTCCTCAGGGAGGTGGGGTGGGGATCTGGGGTTGGGGAGGGGGATCTGAGTTGAAGAGGAGGTAGCTGCTACTTTCGCCATATTTGAAATATGACGACGGCGACAAAATCCGACCTGCGTTTGTTCGAAGAGAGAGAAAGGAAATAGATACAAAGGAGGGGATGGGTTGTGGACGGGAGAGTGTTTGTTTCGTTGCCGGGGCGGGTGTTTTTTTGGACAAATTGCTGGGTGGACAAATTGCCCATAATCCCATAAATCATCTCCAGAAAACAAATGCAGTATTTGTTTTTGCCGTGAGCATTATTGTTTTAATTCTTTCTTGATGTTGTAGTTTTGATCTTGTTGATGAAGTAATAGTTTACCAAATGAGTTGAAAGAGAGGGGGTGGGTCTTCGTGGTTGGTATGGTGGTGGGGTAAAAGGGGTGGTAGCTGGTCGCGGATGGTGTAGGAGGGGGCTGGTTATGTTTTTTTCAATGCTTTTTAATTGATGTTTTGGTAATTGAGAGAGAGGGGATGAGAGAGAAAGAGGTGGAGAGAGTTTTTTTTTTTTGAATGAATTTTTTTAATAATTTATTGATCGAATTGCCCCTCCACAACTAACAGAAGTTTAAAAAATTTGACAGAAATTGAGGATTGTCCTTGAATTGCTTTAAATTGAAACCACATGGACAAAATTGACAAAATTGAAATGACAAAGACCAAAGTGGTAAAAGCGGCAAACTATAGGGACCAAAAGTGACTTTTTGCCAATATTTTACCCTTGTAATTAATGCTATTTATTTAGGCTTAACTGCTACAGTGCCCCCTGAAACATTGGTCAAATCTCACATTGCCCACTTAAAGTTAAAGTGACCCACTTTACTGAAGGAATTTCAAAACATTTTTCCAAAGTTCATTTGAATATTAAACATGCATTTAATCAAATTAATCGCAGCGGAAGTCTAAGGTGGTTAATGAGTTATATTATAAATTTTTCTATTTTTTTTAATAAAAAAACAAGTTCTTTAAATAAAATAAAGTTCAAGAATACAAACTAAGATATCGAAATGACGCTAATAGAGTTTAGCATAGTGGAAAAGAGCTTTGACTTGCAAAATAGTGGTCTCAAGTTGAACTCCTATGGCACTGTGGTAGTGCTTCTGTGTGTGTGTGTGTGTGACAAACCTCCCCTCTCTCTCTAGTTTAGACCATCGCTTGTACCATCTAAAGAACCAAGCCCAAGAGGACAAGAAAACTAACACGCTAAAAACCAAAACTAAATCGGACTAAAGTTGTACGAACAATTACTAGCCCACATTACTACAATTAAACTAAATCTCAATGACAACCCACAAAACCCAAGATAACCGAAACACTAAACCAACCGAAGAGTCGCAGTCCCACCCACTAGGGCATAGTCTTTAGGCGAACACAAAACATGTGATAAATCTGGAGAAAACTTGGTTTCCAGTGATCTAATTGCGAATAACAGCGAACAAATATGTTAATCATGACAAAAACCAATTGGGTAACAAACTCTTCAAATACGAGGTAGAACTAAATTTAGAGAAGATGAGAAGTGTTAGATAAAGGGTTTTTGGAGCAGGATCTAATTGAGTGCATAGCCCAATAGAAGTCATGATGAACTTCGATATGAGCATGCCTCAAAAGAAATCACAACAAAAGGCTTCTGATTCAAAAACACTTAATGAACTTCTTCACTAACCCAAAAGAAAACAGAAGAGGAGATGAGAATTGAGGGGTTGCTCTTCCTCCCATATGGAGGCATTTCTTTGGGACCTTTCCAATTCATAGTGCAGTTAAGTGTCAATGAGTGTCTACTGATTGTGGGTTCGTCGTGCAACGGACCTGTCCTCCTCTCATATGTTTTCCATACAGACAAATCTCACAATTTCATTCATATGTGATCATGGAGAGAAGTTGGAAAGACTTGTTGCTTGATTGTGGCTTCACTTCCCCAACTTCAAGATTCTTTTGTTTGTTGAGAGAGACAATTTCGATTCATCTGATTCTGATTGCTCAGCTCCAAATCCTCCGTGGTGGCCACAGTTAAGTTAACAAGTCACGACTTTTATTTTTTCAGTTACAACAAGTTCTAGCTTTTGACAATAAAACAAACCTCAGCCTCATCAACCATCAGTCCATCAAGAGAACCTAAGCTCATGGGTAAAAACACCATAAGGAGTTGTAAGTGCGTCAATAATTATTTTTGTGTACTGAAGACATACTTCATTCACCAAATCAACCAAAGTTGATATAAGCAAAGCCTTTAACATCACCATTAGCCTTTAACATCACTGTACTTCCTTAAACATAACAAGAAATTTAACTTCTAATCCAAAAATATTTGAAGTATCATCAAACAAAACACTAGCTGGTCACTAAGTTAGAGGCCAATTAAGGTTCTGGTGTCCAACTATATAATATTAATCAAGGGCGCTCACAGCCCTTTATCAAAATGGTGTTTTAGCTCATTGTTAGACTGCATCACCTCCTCCAGTGTGGTGTGTGGGTGCTTGGTTCAATCTTCGCAATCTTCGCAACTGTCAGTCGAATAAAAATCTGATCCCAACTCCGCAATATCTTCCTCCAGAAAAAGGGCTTTGGTCTCTCCTAGCAGCTTCAACCCTGCACACCTGTATCAGCAGTTGTGACATTTAAAAAGTAAAATACTTGAACAGATACTGGTCATTTCCAAGGAATTTAAAAAAAATACTTGAACAAATGTGTTAGGTTAATGTTCTCTTAATGGCTTACTGAGTACCATTTTAAAACAGATAAGCAAACAGAATAACAAAACAGAATAAATAGAAGTTCTCAATTGCTTTGCCCCAGTCCCTCAAAAAAGGTATGGCTAATGGAAATTTTGAAAAAAGTGGCTTCCACATAAGGCTATTCCAAAATGAGAAATGTATTTATTGTTTTCCAACATTAGAAATTCAAATAAGCTCTTCATCTACCCAAAAGATAAAACTCAACCATGTACAATCGAAGACTGAATCAAAACATAGACGACAGTTCAAATTGATTGGGAACCAATGCATGAACATGTTGAGTTATTTATGGATCTTTAGATGACAGTCATGCATAAATGTTGGTCCATATATAAAGCCTTCTGACGTAGAGGCATATTCTATAAAGCAACTCCACACACGAGTTAACTTCCCAATAGCAAAACAAAAAGCATGACTACAACAACCAATTCATATTAAGTCTTAGAAGGTAAAAGAATAATGCAAAAAGGTTAAATCTTTACCTTGAATTTACATTCAGTACTTCTACATCCTTCCCCACCAGAATATCCTTCAGTGAAATAAAGCTTGGAACATGACTAAATACCTCAAAATCTGACTTGAACCCACGAAGCTTAAGAAAAATGAACGGACTGTGGTTTCTTGGGTGATAGTAAAAGAAGGCATTAGTATGAGAATTAAACATCAACAGACATCCATTCTGCAAGTATTTCATGGGTTTGAATGATCCATATGGCCACCTTCCAGCATCTTCGGTATCAATCGAAATATTCTTCCTCCAAAGTTTTTGTGCACCAGAATCATTCAGTGTCCAAAATTTAATTTCAAGACCATCAGTATGACACACACAAATGCTATCTCCCAAAACTCCCAAGACCGCATTACGACATTCCTCCCGTCCAAAAGGCGGGGATGGAACTGATTGCAACTTTTCAGTATCCAAGTCAAAAGAAATTATGGTAAAACCTGACCATTCATCGCAAAACCAATAAAGCACTCCTTTCACATAGGTGGGGAATGCTAGTTTACTAGCTAAGTAGGGAGCACTACCAACAGATTTCCATGAACCTGCTCCAAGTGTGTGTATCTCAGCCACCCTATTGGGACGAGGGGTCCCTTGCTTAAACATTCTTATCACCTTATATTCGTTAGTCCTTGGACTGAATCCGAATCCACAATCCATTGAAATCTTTTCATTCTCAGGTTTAGAACCTTCGGGAAGGTTTATAAATTCTCCGGTTATTGGATTGCACACAACAGCAGGGTCATTGGAGAATGGCTCAGACAGGCAAAGCAAGCCGTTACACGAGTTCACCACATTGTACTTGTGATCATTTCGCCTTATCTTGATGCAAGGCTTTCTTGTAGTGCCATGTTTCCTATCAAGCATCACATTGGCATTACCGTGGTTACTGATAACTTGCTCAGCATTGCGCAATGGGATTTTACATTTGGAAAGAATCATGTGGAAATCAGATCGCTCACGATAACGGTCATATGCACCGCAGTCCCTCAAAAACGAACCAGAGCTATCTTCAGGCTCAACCAAGTAAAGGGTTCTTGACACGCGTGGTGGACCCAAGGGCCGGACCATAGGAAAGACCTCTGCTTGTGCAAAATGCAGCTGAGCAAATTCAGGGTCCGAAATTAGACCATGCCAAGTCTTGCACACACACTTGCACATGAGAATGCTCCTTGTTGGGATCTTAAGTAGAACCATGTGAATGGTAGACTTTGGAAGATCTGTTATAAAAGGACCCATTTCTTGAATGTGGTCATCCTTGTTCCCTATTTGGGTGGCACAAGATGTAGACTTTCTTTTCCTCTTCATGAATCTATTGATAAGAAAACACTAAAATAATATAAATAAGGGGTTAAGCCAGTTGTGGTTAAGTGCCACAGAGAAAAGAACACCAAAATCACCACATTAGCACAACATCCACAACTGACCCACCTAATTAAAAACGGATTGAAGTGGAAAAAGAATCACTTATATGCTTTTCCTATTACTGATATAAAAATCATAGTAAATCAGTGATGTAATATCCAAGAGAAGGAAAAATGAGAATTTTAGGGTAACATATGATCAAAACGAAAAGCTAAATTACAAAATTTGTAACAAAAATAGGGTTTAAAACACTAAAATGGTAAGAACTGAAATTATTACCTGGACAAAATGGTAAGAACTATGAAATAGTAGCCCCTTGCAGAGAGATGGAAGTCTTTTTGCTTTTTTGGGTCAAAAGAGATAGAAGTGTTTTACCTAATGGCAGAGGGCGAAAAGGCAATTGCTAATTTGTACGTGAGGGTTCAACTTGGCGGGAAGAGGGTTCAGCTTGGCGGGAAAAGATGATGCACTGACTGGCCCAATGGGCCTTTCAACTTTTGGACTAAACACTAAACATCCCCTTGGGTTCATTTCTCCACCTTCCCTCACCACTGAAAGAGCACCAGAGGGCTTGGAATTTTTATTTTTATTTTTATATTTATTTTTCTTCACACTGCATTACAAATTGTCCACACTGGAGTTAAAGGATATTTGAATCCAAGCAGGGGGCTTTGAGATTTTAGAGGTGTAAATGAGCAACGGGACTTCCTAAAACAAAGTTTTCAACAAAAATACTAAAATTGGACAATACATATTGAGAGTAAATTTATAACTAAATCTCACCCCAAAAGATATAATTAAAAAAAATATATCATCTAACATGAATCTTCCCAATATCAGATTTATCTAGTGTTAATATAACATTTATAGGGTGGCATTATTTCTGTCAAATGAGTTGTACATTCCTAATTAGTCTAAATCGACTATTTGATTCTGCAAGATTATAAGATCATAATTACATTCCCCGAATAGTTTCCTAGGCTTAGTATATAACCTTCCTATTGTTGTACATTCTAATATCAATGAAATATAATTCTCACCTAATTTGAGATGGTAGAAGAGCAATCAATCATGACTAGCTCTTGACCTAACCACAACATATTTCTGCAGTTGCAACAACCATACAAACCCAATCGCAGCAGCCGCCACTCGCATCACCATCAGTCGCGTTCCACCACCACTCACGTTGCTCAAAATCCAAACTCACGCAGACGTCATTCACGACTCACATTGCTCAAAAACCATACCAACAACATACATCATCCATGACTCACATCGCTAAAAAACCAGACTAGCAGGATGTGGGAGCAAATAATTTGGCTTCCAATTACAAGGCGCCACATGGACAAGAAAAGTATCTCATAGGTCAATTAATTGAGCCCATTTATTTGGCCAATTAATTGATACTAAAAATAGGGATACTATCTTAAATATGGGATATTATATAATTGTTGAGGCCCAAAAATCCAGGGGGTTAGGCCCAAGCTTATTGTCAGCCCGGTGCAAATAATTAATTACAAAAGAAACTCGACCGGGGCATAATAGGGAATTGTAGAACGCCTACGCGAGCCACGGGTCACGCTAAGCAAGCATGCCAAAAACGCAACGGCTATGTAAGTTCACGCTCATGAATCTATCCGGTGTTATTTAATTTGAGCTCGGCTTATTATAGCACAATTAAACTCAAGCACAAGCACAACGAATAAACATGCGATGCCATCACGCCATGCTACAAGCTCAAGTGGGCCCAAGCCACGTAATCACTCGGGGCTTGCTGAGAAGGTTGTGGCATGGATGGGTACGGGCACTCACAGGGCCCATTGAGGGAACGAGGGATGAAAGCTTTAGGCTACTTGGGAGCACTAAAGCTCAGGCCCATTCCTCGCGCCCAAATACATGGGTTAGCATGAGAGAGAAGAATGGGGTCCAAAGCCTTAGGAGAACATCCCATAGGCTACTGTAGCATTTAGGGAAGTCCATTATAGTTAGAATGCCCAAGAACGAGCAAAACCACTTCCAGCAGCTGGACGAAAGCGTGCGGGCCGCTGGAAGGGAAAATACCAATAACCTCAAAACTGTACTCGAAGCCCAGCCCAGCCTCTCTTAGAAAATCCAAACATCGAGCTCCACCCATACCAGAGCTCCCATGTAGTCAACCCAAAATCACAGCAAGGACCATAGGAAATCCATAAGTGTAGGAGAAATACCCAGTGGACAAACAACTTCCTCTGTTCTCAGTTTTCCTTTGTAAGCTCTGATTTGAAAACCAAGGGAGAAAGCAAGTGGCGCCTTACCCCCATGGAAAGGCTCAGCCGCACGAAGCCTTGGAACCACAAGAAGCCATTGATTCAGGCGCTCTGGTCAATGATTTTGCACAAGAAAGGGAGTAATCGGAGAAAGGGAAAGAAAAAGTAGGAATGGATGATCGACGAAATTAGGATTCCAAACGCCTATAAAACAGAGCTTCTTCTACCCAGCAACACA